CTAACAACATCCATTCTATATATATATATATCAAAGGAGATTTTGGAATTCTTCTTGGAAGATAAGGTTTCTATAAGGCTCAAGCTTTATGAAAACAAAATAAACTCTCACACCAAATCCTCATTCGGAAAGCACTTTCGGTAACATAAATCTCCATGATAGCTCTAAAATTAATGTCCAACACCGTCAATGAAATTCGAAACTAAAAAAATAGCACAGATCTTCTGATCTATGAACAGTTATTTTTAGGGCAAGATAGACGATCTAGATAATTTGTTACAATATACATTATTTTTAGAGCTTGAAATCTTTTTTTTTTCACAACCATAATGTTCAAGCCAAGATGATTGATTTAAATGTTTTCTAATGCTTGAATTGAAGTTTTTGATGAGTTATGACGTGAGACTTTACTTATTTTACTACAGCTGCCTAATCAAACCATTTTCCAAAATTAAATGAGTGGGTAAATCAGTAATTTTATCAACAACTTTAACTACTTTCTAGAAAGCTTTCATTTGGGTAACTCATGAAGAAATTTGTTTAAAATAACCTAAAATGCTTTTATTTTAGTTTGTAATCCTAATCAAGCTGCCCACTTATAGCACTTTTATAGCAGCGAATACAAACACGTAGTTTCAAAAAGAATTTTGTTTCTATCTCAATCAAAGAATGCCACTAGGTCTGCCAACAATCCGGTCAGCCTTGGCATGAGCTTGGCCCTAATTGTTTGGTTAGGCCTAGGCTCAAAATTAAACTATAACTTGTAGCTTGGCCCAGGCCCGAAGTACATCACTTAGGTTCAGGCATGCCCAAAAATTAGATTGGGTTAGGCCTATCCCTATTTTTTGTGCTGTGTATGTGCATGCTGTGTGAAAATAATCAAAAAGTACTCAAGAAACAAACTATTTAACATTCAATCAAATTTTTTTATTTGATTTTAAAAATCTCTTCAAGGATACATGATCATGAGTTAGAATAGTTGATATTTCGAACTAGTCTAATCAGTTGTCCTAAATATATGTTATATACAATTTTAGACTAGGGTCAGGCTGGGCCAAAGTTCCCTCACCCAACCTAAAAATTGTTCAGGTCTAGCATATCATGTCCAAGTCATCTTGTAGACTTTAAAATGGGTCCAGACTCTAGACCCGGCCTTAGGCCAAGCCGTGTAGAATCAGTGACAACCACTGTCTCTCATTTAATGTTGCAGCATAGAGAATGGATTCAATACCATGCTTACTAGGAGAGCTTATTCCATAATGCTTCCCTGGTGAGTGTCAGTGTCTTGTATGCTATTGCGTTTCATCCATTTGAATGTGTTTTGAGCTGCGATTCACATTGGAGCCACACAACATGAGATGGTCATGGTGTCTTGTATAGTCTAGATTAGTGTTTTAAAATACGGATTAGTGGGGTGGATCATTTGTTTACCGAGTCTTGATCGTGATCGGCTGGATCGGATTTGGCCGAATAAAAAAATATAAAAAAGAAGAAGAGAGGAAATGAGCTCTAACAGACCTACAAAATGGGGTGGTATTGTAAGGTAATGAAATAATGAGGGAAATGAAAAGAACCATACACAAATAGAAGGGGTTTTTAGAAGGGATAGGGTCGATTTTTTATACTTGCCGAGAATCGGCTTGACTCGAATGTTTACCATTCTAGATTGACAATTTCCAATCCAAATTGATCCAAATTGATGGACTTTAAAATACTAATCTAGTGTGACTGGTGCTATGGTTAAATACTCTTCGCTTTACCTTTTTTTCCCTAGTTAGAATAATTTTAGGTCCGTCTAAGGGTATTTTAGTATTCAATATTCTCGATTACGGTCAACTTTTATGTATTTGCAAAGAAAGCGGTTCTACTTTTGTCTTTTTCTTGTTTTTTTAAAAGGAAAGGGTTTATACAAGATGTCGACTTTATATTATTGAAGGAAATTAAACCTTAAAAACCTATAGAAAAAAATGTTTCGATGCTGAAAAACCCTCAAATTAATCATCTTGACCTCAAGATATATGGATATAGAATGAAGAGAAGCCATCCAGTCAAAAGATAGAACAATTAGGAGGTCCTTGTTATTTGTTACATTTTTATAAATTGTATAATTAGTAAAGGGTGCAGTTTGTATAGAGCCTAGGCTCTAAACAATTACATTAATACCTACCTTGAAATAGTTTCTAGAAATGTGGTTTCAATACTGAAAATTTTTGTAATAGCTTTAAAATATATTTTCATCTTTATTTATGAAGTTTAAAGCTTAAAAAATAGTGTAAATCGACAGATCCATGAAAATATGAAAATCTTGAAAATTGACAATAAAAAAATGTGTTACAAAATACACTAATTCTAAAACTTGAAATCTATATTTTTCTCATGTCCTTACATCTTGATGTCGAAGACATTTGGGCATCAAAACAAGCTCTTCTAGTGAAATTTTTATTGTAGGCTCCAATTTGATTGTTTAGAGCCTCGGCTCTATAAAATCTTTTCCCAATAGTAAATGGTAACATAGGCGTAACTGTAGAAAAAGGAAAAACTGAATAATTCGTATCTCCGGACACTCTTTAGAAAATTAATCAAGAATTTACGACTCAGATTGCTCTATAATGTAGAAAAATATATGGTAATTTTTTTTTTGGTAGGCGACACGCTTGCTCGCCCATGCGAAACAGTAGTAGGGAGTATTTTCGAAAGCGATTATCAACAAAGAGACCATTTATCTTTGTACGTGGAGGTCAATCTTTCCCATTCATTAGATGTGAAAATAAAATTGGTTCATCTTATATGTTTATTTACCCAAAATTTGCTTTTGCTCCAAATTATTATTCCAAAAAATGACGACCTACATAAGGGTTCCCTCATATATAAATAATGTTGCCAAAACGCTACCTTAATTTTAGCAAAACTTTCATCCTAATGGATAAAACTAACAAAAGAAGATAACAAATTGCCATTCTACCCGTGGTAGAGACCTCTTCCCCAGTTATTTACTGCGACAAGGTTTCCAAATGAGGACTGTATCCTATGAAGCCGTTCATCCTTATTATAATTACTCGATTTCATGGGTATCATGAAGTTCAAGAATTTTATTTTATTTTTTACCTATTTTTTTTTTTTGACTATGAGTCGAGTTAAAAATCCAATCACACCACCCGATTTGAAAATTGATAGAAAAGAGTGATTGTAGCCGCTTATATTAAAAGTAAATGATTATCTTTGTACACCTTTCCTACCTTTAAAATAGGTGATCGACCAAACAAAATACAAAATATTACAAAAATGGTTCAAATTAAAAAAAAAAAGATTTTGGATCTTGCACCCAGCATGCTCGTCAAGATATATTCCATTTAAAGACCATAAAACTTAAGGAAAATGTTATTATTTAAGGCCAAAAAATCCCTCACAAAGTGGATACCCCAATTTTTTTTGTTGATGAAAGTACATATCCCAATTACCAGGGATTCCTTTTTCATTTTTATTTCATTCATGCATCTCCTCAAAAATATCTAAAAGTATGTCCTTATTTATGGTTGGGAACCCCAAACATGCAGGGAAATTTTAGTAATTTGACCCACCCTGATCAAGTAGGGTTACATCCATATTTGATTGAGGTATCTTAGGTGGGTCAAATCACTACAGTGTTGCTGCTTGTTTTGGGTTCTAATCTTGAAAGGGAAATATTATAGAGGAGTACCGAGATCAAATGAAAATTAAAAAATAAATCCATTGAAAATAAAATAAAATAAAACTTTTATAGTTAATTTGTTTGATTTTGAACATGTAGGATGTTATGGTAATTTGGGAATTTGTGAAATATACAAAACCCATGATGGATGAATTTGCCTTGACCAGATTTTGAGCCAAAACTCTCTTTGTTACACATCTTTATTTCTTTAAATCTCTTCTAACTACAATATCCTTGGGAATGTGTTCGGGTTATAGTGGCAGTACCACCTAAGCTCCAGTTAAAGGTCTTGACCTCCATTCTCACTAACAAATTAAAAAACTGACTATTCTGACTGCCCCCATTAAAAAAACAGAAGAAAAAAGTTACAATACCGTGTTGCTTGTGACTCTTTCTTGTGGGATTTGTACTCCCAAAAAATCTTAGTATACTCCACTAAACTTTTCATAAGGTGTGGAAAATTAGCTTATACATTGATAAACCGATTGATGACCTAAAAATCTATTTTTGCTTATAATTATGAAATTTGAATAAAATCTCTAGAAATTATGTAGACATGTTAAATAAGGGCAATTACAAGATACACCAATTTTGGAGCTTGAAATATGTTCTTTTCCTTATGCATAATTATCAAGGTCAGCATGAGCAATTTGAGGATTTTAAGTATTGAAACTGCACTTCTCAATGAGGTTCCTAGTTTTCTCTATACAATTTTATTTCTTAGATGTGTTAAACACTTTACGAGGATTAAATTATTTTTGGAGCATGAAATCTATTTTTCTCTCATATTCATAGTTATTTTTCTCTAAAGGACAATTTTGAAAAAACTAAAACCTTATGTTGGCCGACCTTTCATTTAATTTTAACTCAAAATTAACTCATTTTATATTTTCAGTGTTTCTTTTGTGTCCATGTAATTCACTCCTTTGTAGAATGAAAAAGGACCCACATGCCATTCTCTTACCAACTCCTCCATTTCCTCTCATCTATTACACTCCCAATCCCGTTCGCATTGTAAAGTTCTGAAATATGCTTGTGGTATCTCATTTGAGATTCCCCTGGTTGAAAGGATACCTTATGAATAAGGCCAGCCCAGTCCCTAGAGCCTAGATCTGGTTCAAGTAGAAGAGACCATAGCCCATGCCGAACTATGGCCATTGGCTAGGTGGCCCGACCCAGTTTGGCCATTCTGTGCCATACCAAATGGAAATTTAAAAAATAAAAATACAAGCATAAAGAAAAGCTTCACATTTTTCATAAAAAAAACCACAATCTTATTGATAAAATAAAATGATCAAAATACCCTCACATCTTACAAAAGAAAAGCATATGGAAACCACTCACGACCAGAGAAAACACGATGAATCGGTCCATCCATGGCCTTAAACCATACAAACCTCCACTTCTTGATTAGAAAAAGAAACCAAAGTACACCCCAAAAACCAACTACAAATTCCATGGCAATGCAAGCATAGAGCACAGGCTTATCCCCCACCCATCTTGAAATTTTCTCTTCATTTTCCTTGTCTTCCTGTTGGAGCTGAGAGCACTTTTTCCTTGGATAACCACAAAGCTTAGGATTTTTAGAGCACTCTTTCCCTAGGTAACCACAAAGCTTAGGATTTCCACAATAGGAACTTTCTTCAAAGGTTTGAAAATTGTTTACAATGGGAACTGCACCTTCTAAATCATTAAATGCAACTGAAAATTGGCTTAAAAAAGTTAGAGAACCTAAATCAGATGGTATCCTGCCCTTGAGCATATTATGTGAGAGATCCAGTACTTCAATCTGAGACAACTTTGCAAACGAATCTGGGATCGTCCCATTGAGATGATTGTTGGAGATATTCAATACAATAAGTCCTTTTAAGATGCCAATTTCCATTGGGATGGGGCCGCTAAGATGGTTCAAGGAGAGATCAATTCCTGTTACAACAGAGAGAACTATTCCACTGTATCCATACTCATTGCGCTTGTAGAAATTCACATGCGCATCCGTGCTAGCCCTTATGGTGGATCTGCTACCATTTACCCAAGCAGAGCTCTTATGGAAGCAAGAAGGTATGGATCCCTCAAAGTTGTTTTCCGATAGATCTAAAATGGCCAGTTGCTGTAGTTGACGTATTTCATCAAGAATATTACCTTAAAACCGGTTTTCTTTCAAGATCAGGACCTGTAAATTAGAGGTTTCTGCAATCTCTCTTGGGATGCGACCTGACATATAAATGGCTCCGATGTCTATGACCATTAGAAAGGGGCTGTAAAGAAGCAGATTCTCGAGTATTGTTCCATGAAATGCATTGTGTTCCAAATGTATGGACTGTATGCTTGGGAGATCGAAGTTTGCGGACAGCAAGGGTCTGTCTAAGGAGTTATTTGACAAATTCAGCTGTTCTAGCTTATACACGAGAGTAAGATTGTGAGGTAGATTTCCAGATATGTTGTTGTTTGACAAGTCTAGAGACAAAAAATTACCGGTCATATTAGATGGTAATCTTCCATAAAACTTGTTGGAGGACATATCCAAAGAATCGAACTGAGGGACATCGAAACTACTCAAGATAGAAGCTATGTCCCAAAAGTTGTGTGAAGTTTCCAGGTCCCGAAAATGGATTGAGAAATTCTTAGGTTTCTCCCCACTAAAATTGTTATATGAGATGACAAAACCATAAAGTTGTGGAAGCCATGGTGGGACACTCCCTCACAATTTATCATACTTAAAATAGATGACTTTGAAAGAGTGCTGAGTGGAAAGAAAGGATGTACCAATGTAGAATTTGCTCATGTCGCAGTACTATAACTAAAGTTTCGAAAGTTGGAAAGACGGATTGAAGTCACTTCCTTGCAAAATGAGCAACCCGCTGTTATGCTAAAGGTCCACTCTATCAAGGTGGGAAAGATTTTGCAACCCGCTGTTATGCTAAAGGTCCACTCTATCAAGGTGGGAAAGATTTTGCAACCCGCTGTTATGCTAAAGGTCCACTCTATCAAGGTGGAAAAGATTTGATATGGTAGAAAAAGAGAAGTCACCTGATAAGGAATTATTGGAGATATCCAAACGCTCCAAATTTTCAAGCTTACTTATCTCTTGCGGGATGGATCCTATAAGGTGATTATCTCGAAAAGAGAGTTTTACAAGGGAGGACAAATTTTCCAAGGAATGAGGTATGCTCCCCTCTAGTTTGTTATATCTTAGATCAATTGTACGAAGAGATGATAGCAAACCTATCTCTACAGGCAGCATACCAGAGAAAAAATTTGACCCTAAATTCAATTGCTGGAGCTTCTTCAGTTTGGAAAGCTCTGCAAACACCGAAGAAACAAGGTTAGCCTACAGGGAAAAAATCCAACAAGAACTCACCTTGAAAAAAATGAGTTACTCACTTTGAAAACATTAAAAATGTCATTGGCTTTGAAATAAAACCAATATGCTCCTAACTAAAACTAACCGTATATATAAATCCTTCCAGATTTAAAAAGTGAAATTATGAAATTGACAATTGTCATGTATGATAATAACCGGGAAGGCGTTCCATTTTTCTCTTTCAATGACTATAACTATTCCTTTTGCCCTAAAAAACTTATTCATTTTCTCATATTTCTTTCCTCAATAAAAGTTCATAGAACACCTCTAGAGAATATTATAAAACATGGAGACCTGCTTATTTCAAGTTTGTAGTTTAGAAACTGAATCAACCAATTGGTATTTCGACCAATGAACTTGAAAAAAACATTTTGCGGTTTCTGAATTTCGAAGTATTCACCATCAAAAATTGAAATTTACAAATGAAAATGCATTAGGCTCGCACCTTTCATGGGCAAAAAGCCACTCAGGTTCTCTATGACGAAGTCTCGGACTCCATTCTTACCAAATGGTAGGGATTCAAATCCCCACTAACTTTCCTTTCACTTACCCAAAAAATTTTTACTTACCCAAAACAAAAAGAAACCACCCATGTTGCGGTCCTCTTGACAAGTGACTGCAAGTTTTCAACCCTAACAGGCTAAGTAACGTTAAGATCTCATTGTCCTAAATTAAATCGGGAATAAAAATCTAAACCGACCAACGGATTCGCCATAGCATCAATGGAATCACGCTTAAAGCAGTCCAAGTCGCAACACGTAACACCTTCCCAAGAACAACAATCCAATGCTTTCTATGAATTCAAGAATCCGATGGCTTCAGCTTTCGAGCATTTGTTGGTATAACCAAGGTAGGCATTGAATTCCAAAAGAGCTGCTACTTCTTTCTCTAAACATTGAGGTGATCCCAAAGGAGACATGTAGAGTATGTGTACCATAAAAACCAGGCGTGGCACAGATGGAAGAGAACGAAGAGGCCATGGTTCTATTGAAAGAAGAACTTTGTGATAAAGCACAACGTATCTATTTCAAAAATTTCTTTATTCCTACACCGACAAGATCACTTTCAATATCCAATTACAAACAAATCACCCTTCAAATAAATAAAAATAAACAAAAGCCAGTTCTCACTTGCTACCTCTTTAAATATAAAAATTTATTCAACAATCAAATTCATTGTTCTATAAGAAGATGAGCAAATCACAAATAAGGGGCTGTTTTGGTACGTGGAAAACTATTACATGACAATAAATTACAAGGAAATATGACATTTACGTTGTTTGGGTACACTTTAATAGTAAGGAAATGGAAAGACGTTACCTGAGATTACCCGAGATTTCTCCCAAAATCATGAAATCCATTACACGGGGGGAGGGGTGAAAAATCTATAATGAGGTTGACAGGTAATGTTAGGAAATCTTTTGCATGCGTCTCTCTACCTGAGCCCCGCTTAAAAAAACATTTCTCTCTCTCAAGTATACGCTATTATTAAGGTAAGTAGAAAGTGTAAGTAGGGTCTATGAAAAGGGGAATCTAAATTGATATGAACAGTTGTAGGAGGATAATTTTCTACTGCAATCATAATAAAAAATTTATACATCTTTCTACCCAATTCGGATTGTAGCCCTCATCTCACTCTCATATAAAAACAATTTTTTTTAATAATTGGTAAGTGAAAGTAGAGAGAAATCTAAATTGATTTGAATAGTTGTAGAACTTGATGATGGACAATTTTTACTGCAATCATAATAAAAAGATTTCCACATACCTCTATCCCTAATTTAGGTTGGTATCAGCTCTAGTATAAAAACAAAAATAATAAAAATAATAATGGGTAATCGATGAGAAATTACACAACACAATCATAATAAAAAATTTAACACAACATAATCCTCATAAGAGATTAAAAGCTCAATTGAAATAAGATACCTCTTTAGTCTCCACCAATGCTTCAAAATTTTCTACTGTAATTACCAAACCTTCTAGTTTACTAATCAAACTTCTTTCCATATTTTAATTTGTACCATAAAAATTTTGATTTTGGTATCATAAAAATTAATTGCTTATTTGAAATTATATATATAGATAGAAATTTGAAAATGAATAAAAAAGGGTTTATCACAATAAAATCATGTTATTCTATCATATTATTCCAATGACTTATCATGTTGAAACCAAAGTCTAATCATGTTAGTCAAACATAGCCATATTTTTCACATTTGGGTGGTAATGCATTTCTTATATTTCTTCTAGACATAGCCAAACAGTAACAATGTATTTCCCAAGTTGCATCTAAGTACTACGCAAACACTGACAATCCATTTGCAGTTAATGCATTACGTAGTAGTGTATTACGCCCATAATATATTTCACTGACAATATATTTCCAGGTATCCAAACGGCCATTAAAGGTTTAAAGAGATAAAATTATCGAAAATTACCTCAACTGGGCTTAGTATAACCCACATCGAGTCTCATCCTTTCGATGGTGCTCGGGATCTATGATCGGTCTCTTGATTCACTTACTTACAATAAAAACCATCTCAATGGCATATGAATCTCGATTTCGAACCAACTACCTAAGACCTCAATGCCATAGTCTTGCTCAAGCCCACTTGGCTAGACCTCTCGAACGATCTGCCTAAGACCTCAATGCCTTGGTCTTGCTCAAGCTCCCTTGACTTGATCTTTAGATAGATGAAATATAGAAATAAAGAGAGATGAAGAGATCTACTAGCTAGAGGATCCTCCCCTTTGCTACCCACAAACTTTAGCATAGCTTAGGTGTGCCCCACGAGAGAGAGAGAGATCAAAAAAATCTGGGGCATGCCACCTTTGAAACCCGAAGAGGGATAGATGATCTTTCTAGGTTGGGGCGTGACATCTCTTTCGGGAGAGAGAGACAAGCTGGTTGATCTTTAAAGAGATGAGAGATAACAATCAAAGAGAGAGGGTGAAGAGGTGTAGAGAATTATGAGACTTGGGAGAGAGATATGAACTTTCTAAGTTGGGGTGTGCCCCGCTTGAGACTTTGAGAGAGAGAGAGATAGTTCTTAGAGAGAGAAGAGTGAAGAGGTGTAGAGATTTATGGGGTGGGAGATCATCTATATATAAATTTTCTATGCCTTGGGGTATGCCATGGTTAGTAAGATCAAATCTTGATTGTCGATCTAAAGAGACTTGTGTGGGGTGACATATGTGAGTCATCTATTCCTATGATCCACCATCAAGATTCAAAAGAATGTGTTAGAACCTTATCTTCTATTTATGTAAACATATTCTTATCAAATCTTTAAATAAGAAGAATATATCTCTTGCTTTCTAATTTATTGTATATATTATTTATTTCTTGAATCAAACAATCTTGATTTATAAGACTTACTAAATATTTCAAATATTTGCATTCATTATGTAAATTAGCTCTATCCAAAGAATAAAAAACCAAATAAAATGGGATAACCATCACCTAACTTGATGATCAAATAATCCCTATAGGTGGGGGCATACCACCCCTTGGCGGCCTCTCATGGGCCCACCCAATTACCACATGTGTAAAATGAGTCTCCATATTTTATAAAAGGTCCACATAATTTAAGAAAATGCAAAATTTGAATTTCAGAATTTTAAATATCATAGTTTATTTAAAACATTGGAAAAATGACTTTATATTAATTTATAAATTCAAACAATAAAAATAAAATACCAGAAGATTCACAAAAATTCAAATAAACATTTTAAAAATCATATAACATAAAATTAATTAAGTTTAATGGGAATAAGATATGTCTAGATTTAATAATTTATTAATGCACATGAGCCCTCTACCTTCAACCGCGGACCACAATCCACCTAGCTTTTTCAAACTGACCCAGTAGTTGCTATGACCCACTGTCTATTGCACAGGTTAATGATTTGCCTACCAAAGTCAGTGAATAAACTAGGGGATGCAATCCCAGTCTATAGATTGCAGGTTGCCCCTAAAGACAATATCATGTTCTGTCAGACCATGATGCAACCACGACTCAATAGAGCATTGGGACAATCTCTCGCAAATGTACATACTTCACCCCCAATGGTGAATCTCAATACGACTATCTATGTACATGTTATGCGATGATATAACGATGAAGTTTTAGCCTTGTCTCTAAAGGCTATTTATCAAACGCAAGGGTCTCACAGTCCCTCGGCTTTCATCCTCATCAAGGGCTAACCTACTAAACCCTTCTTGGTTACATCCCTATTCCCAAATACCTTGGGTTTTTTGAACTCAGCTGACCAAGCACGTTTAGCTTAATCCGAGTATCAACAAATAAAATTTGCCTAGTATGGTTCATAAGAAGACCACGCTCCCACTAAGTTAGTGTTTCATTTATCAAAATATTTTTTTTTTATTTAATACAGTATCTCATAAGGCATTTAAAAGCCGCATAAACCCAACACTTCTTTAGCAAAACGAGTGGCTAAAACCAAGAGGATAAGTCTTGTAGATATAATGCCCGAGGAGATACAAGAAACAATCTAGGTCTTTCGTCCCTGGCATTTGGACGTTCGAAAAAGTTACAAAATTTGCTGCCCACCAGCATTTAAGGTAGCCATGGATATCATGTATGCTAAAGTACTTTTGTGTACTTGTGGGAGCAAACTATCTATTTACTTCCTCGGGTAAGAGCACCTTTAAGTAGGGTGTTGATGGGTTGGGTTGGTTCGTTTAACTCCATTCCACACTTCTCCCAACTAGGTCTTAGCTGGACCCAGATCCAACTAGGACTTGTGTCCGGTCTAGGTCACTAGACTCAGACCCAACCAAGTACAGTTACTAATACTGGGTCTAGAAACGAAAGTAAAAAATTTAATTATACAAGTACGGTGGAGGTACGAAGGCACACGTAAGGGGAGTAGGT